GAAACCTGCCCCTGAACCTCTCAGTGTCTCTTTATACTGTAAGATGAGATTTGATTTCATGAGGACGTGTCCAGTAGATCGTCTTGTTTTTCTCTGTTCATTATTTTGCATCCACGTAATTTAATGTTAACTACATTCATATATTGTTTACATATTTTAGAGTTATGATTAAGTGTGGCAGAGTGATACATGTGTATATATAAGATGTGAGATGCTTCTGTTGTCCTACTTAATTTTTCTGACATTAAAGTGGATCATGTCCCACAGAGAGGCTGTCCCTGTGCTCTCACCTCACCCACTGCCCTCTGATAGTTGATTCAGTAACTAGTAAGTTTACAGGTGAGACATGAGAGAGAAACCTGCCTCCCAACACTCATAATGTAACTGACCTGTGGGCAAAATATAAATGAACCTGACTCATTCTAATAAATATATTCTTACATAAAACCACATATACACTACTGACCGTTGTACTCACCTGCACTGCTTTAATAATGATGATGATAATAACAGTGAACTTTATTTTGTAGTTCTTTTCAAAAACAAAACACAAAGTGTGATTACAAGATGAGAGTTAGTTCAGTGCAGCTGAAAATGGAAACAAATAAAGGAGACAATGACTAAAATAAATAAAAGCATAAAACAAAGAAACACACACACTAAAACAAAAACCCTTTTATCAAAAGCCAGTTTATAAAAACTTAACTTTGTTTAAGAATGATCCTATAAATGGTTGTAAAAAGCAAATTAAATTTAAGTGTCTGATACCTGGAGACAACCTGGAGTGTGTCAACACACCTGTCAGTATTCTCTCATGAACATATATAACATTAGTAGTATTACATTCATTTATACGTATATGAAGGAGTGTAAGAAAATAAACATATCAAGGTGAACGAAAGGACAAACACGTTGGGCTGCTTTTAATCGTACCACTGCGCAGGTGATGGATGTCTGGAGGCATAATGTTTTTGGGTCGTCCGTCCTATTCTCATGAACACAATATAACTCTGCAGCACCGAGGGGGATAAACCAAAATTCACCAAACAAAATAAATATATAAATAAAAGATCACTTCAAAGTCAAATAAGATTTTTCCAATATTTTTGACAATTTTAGTGACATGTCTGAGAGAAACAGTCAGTTGTTTCTTGTCACACATTTCCAAACTATTTCCATCCATCCAGAGGTTGTTGGAGACTCTTCACTCCGCCATTTCCTGGTTATGGTTGGACTTGTAATAAATATCTGTCCTGCTTTGTTTGCCCAGTTGGCACATTTCCCAGACACATTTCACTGACGTTAACAACCAGCTCCAAACTAATTATTGATCTGATCTCTGTAACCACATCTAATCAGTAAGAAGACATTTTTGGACACTGCCAAAAGATATGAAGATGACCAGCAGACATGTTGCCACACATTCTCCAACACTGACCATGTATATGTTGTACTCATTTTAAATAGTAACAAAAAAATATATATAAAAGTCATGTCACAGGTTGAATGAATACTGACGTCCAAATATTTCTCAAGTACTCGTGCCCAATCCTAGCGTACATTTTAAATGTCTTCCAGTAGCCCTGTGCTAGCTGGTGATCAGATCGTGTGCCAATGATTGTTTATTTTCTGTGCGCTGATGTGAAGGTGATTTTTGGCTGAGTTACTGTCAGAACTAAGATGTAATAAGAATAATGTGTGGGATCATTGAGAGATGTTTGTGGTGGAGCTACATGTCCGCCTGCTCGGCTTGTTAATCAGCCTCCACATGTCCGCTCTTCATTTGCCTGCTCACCAACACTTTGCTCTGCGCTCCATCAGAGGAGTTAACGGTACGGAAATTACTTTGATTGTGATAATGATGCTAACTGGCACAGGATGCTGCAGGCACAGACACACAGACTTTATAAAGGGACCTGCTGTATGAATAGAACACACATTGAGATTAAATAGATTTTTTAATGATAAAATAATTTAAGTAAAATGTTCGTTCTCTTTTAAAAATGTTAATTTACATAAACTTTACTGTATTTCTTACAGAAAGCTTCAATGTTTGATTATTTAAAAGCTCCATCGCACACTGAGGCACTCTCTAGGAGATTATTAAAAATCTTTAATCCAAATTAAATTCTAACGTCAAAAATGCTCTAAAAAAGCAAAGAGAGAATAAATCATTTAAAACTGCAGTAGGCAGTTTTATTTTGTGTCTGTGCCTGCGCGGTCAGAGGAAGTATGTTTTCATATTGTCTGTCTTATTCTCTTGAACACATTATCTCAAGACCGCCTCAATATAATTTCTTTAAATTTGGCACAAACGTCCACTTGGACCGAAGAACAAACTGATTAGAATTTTGTGGTCAAAGGTCAGCTTGACTGTGACATCATCATGTTTTAACGTCATATCTCAGGAACAGAAGGGGAGACATTTGGTCAGATACTGAACTGGTGATTCTAATCTTGAAACTGTGCTGATTGTATAGATCTTCTGTGTGTGAAGCATCCATGTTTTAGTGTTTGTAGTTTCTCTGCAGTGACATTTATATTTGAAGCTTTTTCTGCCTTCATGGCTTCATGTCAGTGTGGACAGACAGGGACAGAAAACTTTAACAGCAACTTGACCCGTTCGCAGATTCATACAACTGCAAGGTAATAACTCTAGTTTTGGTGTTGTAGGACAAAAATCCCATAATAACCTTAGATCAAGTGTTGTCAAGAGATAAAACTAGACTCCTGTTCCTCGTCTGGTTTTCAGGAGATTTTGTCCAATCACAGGTCATTTCAGAGAGAGTGAGCGTTCCTATTGGCCATTCTACAGATGCAGAGAAATGAGAGAAAATGATGCTAATGTTGCTAATATTTTAGCCATCTGCTAACTGGCGCTAAAGGCTCATGGCTGCAGGTTTATGTTTCTGTAGCTAACGTTAGCTGAAGCCTTGAATCACAGCGTGTCCTCCGCCTCACTCCCCGCCGCGACGCACCACCTCACAGGGAGGAGAGCTGCAGCAGCTCCAGAGACTGACCCCCAGTCAGCAGCTGCAGCATCCTGAATCCAGACAGATCAAACCTCAGCTCAGGGGCCGGAGGGCCCCGACTCCCCGCTGGATCAAAACACTTTCAGTTTACTGAATTGATTTCTAAACACTCTGGTATTTTGTTACACTGTGATACCGTCCAGCCTGTCACCTGTAAACAACTCAAAATAATCACATAACAAGTAACTTTAGTACTCACTCTTAGAAGACTCAGTTAAAATGGACGACTGCACATTTAAATGGAGAGATCAGTGCTTAAAAATAAAGTGCTTCAATTCCAAATATGTAATTTCCCCCAAGCCCCTCCCACTTCCTTTGCCTCCTGGCAGCTCCTGTCTTATAATATGATTTTAACTCATTTACACTTCACTAATGAACACTGCTCTCCTCCTCACTGAGCGTGTTTGATTTGTGTCTTCGTGTTATTATCGTACCATATTCAGAGGTGGGAGGATGTGAAGACACTGAAATCAGAATAATATAAAGTCTTGAGCTGCTCTGATGAAACACTGCCAGACGACTCTCAGCTCCTGTTTTCTGTCCGTCATAAAACAATCAGACTGATGACTGAAGGATTTCAGAGTCAGACTCATCCAGTGTGAGATCGGACTGACCTGAAGGCACCACGTGTTCATAAACATGAGCCAAGCTCAGTTTGGTCACAGAGAGCAGATCTGACCTGACAGCAGTTTGTAACTGTGTCAGGGTGGAAAAGTACCAGCTGCAGTAAACCCCTGTGTCTGTGTTAAACTCTGCAGGAACATATTTTTCTGATGACACACTGTTTAAGTCTCAGTCTCAATATAAAACTCACTGTGAACTCAGTATCTGTGGTCGGGGTTCTGTCCTAATGTTCTGCAAAGTTTTACAGAACCAGATAAATGCTCATTTTCATCCTCTGTTGTTACGTGATTATCAGGAGTTGGTTCATTGAGACAAGCAGTAGGTGGCGCAAGTCCTTGATCAGTATACCGCTGCAGAAGATGGAGTGAAACAAAGGAAAATATGAATGTATAATAATAGCGAAGAGCACAGAGACAGTTTGAGCAGCCAGTACTGAAGCTGGTGCAAACTTAAGCTGTTAAAAGCCTCTTGAGACGACGCAGCGACTGTTCGTCAAGTCTGCGTCATTGTTTATTAACTGAAGTTGTTTCAGTTGCTCTCAGGCACATTAACCTTTTATCAGTACACCAACTTTTTTTTTTTTTTTTAAGATTTTTTTTTAGCTCTTTGCCCTTAATAACAGCACAGCGTCTCTTTCTCTGCTTAGTAACGTGCTGAAATTCATCAGGCTGTCTCGTCTGATCTTAGGTCGTAGTCAGTGGGGTTGGTGGCGTGGCTCTCGCTGAGAGGGGGCGAGAAGCACCAACTTGTACACCTACCCTAAGCATAAAAACTCTGTGATATTTCACTATTTTTTCCAAATTCTTTTCTGAGTTTTCCACTCGGGTCAAATAAAATCCAAAATTCAGTTTTCTCATCTAAAATATTTTCAGATATTTATTTGTATTTTATGTACTGTTTAGTTGTGATTGGAGATCGTTTGTCACCAGCCAGCCACCATATTGTTTTCAAACGAGCCAAATCCAACTCACATTACGTCATCCATCAGCAGGAGTGTGAATTGGTCCGGTCTGGTGCAGTGCATTCTGGTACTTGTAGGTTTTCTACCTTTTGAGCAACACAGCTCATTTCCTGTGTTTTTCCTGCTCATGTAGCGCCGGTTTCAAAAGTATTTGTTGTTCTGCTGCAGAGATAGAGCAGTGTAATGAAAAGACTGACCTCTCTGCAGTCAAATATTTCTTTAACTAAGATATTTTCACCTGAGGAGAAGTTCATCTGAAGAAGCTTCTAAAGCTCTTGTCTCCGCTTTGTCTCTCTGCAGTCAGATATAAAGTTGTTGTTGTGATGTCAAAGCGTCCTGCTGGCCGTCTGAAGCTCACAGATGTCTGGTGTTTGTGTCCTCAGTGGGTCCGCTGCGGGTGGAGTTCAACACTCCAGTGAACTTGGAGCAGATAAAAAAAGACAACCCCAACCTGCAGCTGGGCGGACGCTTCAAACCCAAAGACTGTGTGTCACAGCAGAAGGTCGCCATCATCATCCCCTTCCGCAAACGAGACGAACACCTCAAGTACTGGCTGTACTACCTGCACCCCATCCTGCAGAGGCAGCAGCTCGACTACGGAGTCTACGTCATCAACCAGGTACCACACACAGCTCGCACAAACACACCACAACATACACACCTGAACATGTTCATCAGCTGTAGAGGAGCTGGAAGGTTGTTCCCTTCAGACAGAGCCAGGCTAACTGTTTGCCTTTGTTTCCAGTCTTTATGCTAAGCTAACTGTTTCCCTTTGTTTCCAGTCTTTATGCTAAGCTAACTGTTTCCCTTTGTTTCCAGTCTTTATGCTAAGCTAACTGTTTCCCTTTGTTTCCAGTCTTTATGCTAAGCTAACTGTTTGCCTTTGTTTCCAGTCTTTATGCTAAGCTAACTACTTGCCTTTGTTTCCAGTCTTTATGCTAAGCTAACTACTTGCCTTTGTTTCCAGTCTTTATGCTAAGCTAAGCTAACCAGTAGGACCAGTCTGAACATCAGACTCTCTCTGTTTAAATGTTGGAACTGTTCCTTTAAAGCACTGTTTATATTTCATGGGCGTAACTATAACGATCAGTTTGTGACATAATGATTGTGTCAACATATTGATCACTGATTTATAGAAACAAACATGGATGCCTGGTGTTAGCTCAGTGAAGGTAAATAAATCCAGATGAATGTATGTGGTGTTCTGACCCTGATGTCACTGGCTGGTCCTCACAGGTGTGTGTGGAGTCAGGTGTCACTGGAGGCTCAGAGTGAAAACATTAGCTCAGGGCGTGTTGCTGAAAAGATCCTGCAAATGTCTTTTGTAGCAGTGAAATATGAATATCTGTTTAAACACACACACACAGGAAGTGTGCGTATGCGCGTGCCGTGCGTGTGTGTGTGTGTGTGTGTGTATCAGTGGTTAGATTATTGTACAGGTTCATAAGGGGCTGGCCCAGGGGCCCGACAGGTCAGGTGGCTCCTGACTTTGAATCTGTTAGTCTTTCTCTTGTGTCAAAGGGGTGGGGGAATGTCACATCATATATATCCATGCTGACTGGAGATGCAGAGAATATTTTTGACTGCTTACACATGAGAGTTAATAATGCTACTCCTCAGTTTAGTTGTATGAGCCAGACGTGTGGACTCGTGTCACATAACTTGGACTTGAGTCAGACTTGATCTAAATGACTCTATCACGGACTGACACACAGAGACAGACAACCATTCACACCAATTAACCTGCGTGTCTTTGGACTGTGGGAGGAAGCTGGAGCACCTAGAGGAAACCCACGCTGACACAGGGAGAACATGTGGGAGCACCTGGAGGAAACCCACACTGACACAGGGAGAACATGTCAGAGCACCTGGAGGAAACCCACGCTGACACAGGGAGAACATGTCAGAGCGGCGCTAAATATTACTGAGTCATTAGAGCGCCGGACTCGAAGGAAAAGCTTCTTGTTTTTCATGTTATTTTGTGTTTTTTCTTAAGAATGAATGGGTAAGTTAGTGGTTATTGTGTGTTGGGTTATCAGAAACAAAAGTAACTGAAACTGACATCCCTGAAACTTCCCACAGAGGAAGAGATGCAAAATGACTGAAACCATAAACCCACCACAGAAACAGATTCAAAGAGATGAAAAACCGTCTGCAGTTGTTTAGTACCTTTGACTCTATCTCTTGTGTAGAGGCATGGCCTCTTCCCTGTCTGTGCCCATGTTGTTAATGTCACATCATCCCTTAATGCTGATGTCTTATCAGAACTTTTACAGTCTGACTGGAAACTAGTGCAAACAGTGGAGCTCACAGGAATGTAATGATTAACTCCTCACAAACATCACAGATCTCTCAGCTTCCTCATTGTGTGTTCAACATGGACGCTCTGATCCTGTCACACTACTATCATCACAACTACTACTGCAGATGTTTGACATTAAAACCAAAACTCCAGAAAAGGAAATGAACTCTGCCTGTCGAGCTGCTGGAAGACTTTTAATGTGAAACATCTGTAAATGAGGAACATCTGTCTGTTTATTGGCAGCAGCTTAAAAAACACTCAAACATACATGTACACAGTTTTAATCCAGTGTCCTCGTGTTAACTCATCATTTCTCGTTATTTTCAAAATAAATGTAAAACAAAACCATCATCAGGGTATTTTTATATGTAAATCTCTCTGTCTCTTTTCTCTGTTAAACAGTTTGAAATGTTTGATGACTCATCCTGGACTCGGGCATTTATACAAGTTTACAAAATGAGACTGCAGGTTTACATGTAGGAACTGAATGTGTAAACATTTTGTATCTTTTAGCGGCAGATACCGCTTGTATCCAAGACTTATCTTGTCTTATCTCATCTTCTCTCGTCTCGTCTAGTCTCGTCTTGTCTGGCCTCGCCTGGTCACAGTGGTGATATAAAACCACACTTGTCTGTTTGTGGGTCACAGCAGCCGACAGAGCGACATGGAGAGAGATAGGAAGTGGTGTATGTTTGATATCGGAGGGCAAAACCTTTTTTCAAAGTCAAGGATGCTTCCTGTGTAGGGTGGGTCCTTCCAAGTTGGGTCCTACAGAGACTAGGCAAGACTCCTTACTAGGAGTCAGTGAACACACACTAGGTACGTTCAAGATGAGCCAATCCTGCGCAGATTCGATCACCGGCGATCGGCGCACAATGCATGCCGGTTAGTTTTGTGTCCGACTTCATCCCGACTTGCTCTGACGTATTACAAAAGTGGACGGCGATAAAATCGCGAGAGCGAGGTGGCCGCAGTTTTTAGAGCCAGGCGCTGCAGTTGCTCTCCACCGACTGCACCGCCTGGCTCTCACCTGATCTAACAGCTCATTGGTTCAGATGTCGACTCAACAAGATGACGTTTTAGATAAACTACTCATTTTTGTTGTATTTTAGATATTAAGATTGTATTTGTCTGATCTGAAGGTTTATTTTGTGAACAGAAAACATGTTGTGTGACTCATGGTGAAAACAAACTGATAAATGGGTCTGATCACTTTTTTAATGAATTGACATCATTCCAGACAGGATGTTAGTGTGTCTGTGACTTCCTGTACGGACTGAAGGCTGCTGGAAACTGTCGGGAAACTGTCCGACTTCACCGCAGCTTTTTGTCACCGCCCCCCGCTGTGGCCGCCTGCTCTCTTCTACTTTTCAGGCGAGGCGCAGTTCATCTCGAACGAGCCTATTGGTACAGGTTAGCGTCCCAGGTGTGTGTCATTGAAGAGGCCCCGCCTTCAATTCAGGCACATCATGCACAAAGAACTGTGGATACTTCATTCCCACCAAGGATACACACATGATCCTTGAAAACTGTCTGAAGGAAGCAGAGTTAATTCTTACAGGTATTTTAGATATAGTCTGAGTCTTGAGATGAAAATGTTAATTAGTTTCAGTTGATGAAAATTCAAAACTGTTTGTTTTTTCTCTCTTTAAACTGATCCAGTGAGGTTAACTCATGGATCATAAATCAGACTCAAGGTGACAGGTTGTATAAGATAATGTGTGTGTCACGTCTCCAGCAGTGTGTGACAGGTTTAAGGGCTGATTTACGAGCACACACTCACTGATCATCATCTGAAAAGCTCAACATCTCTCTATTTATGCTCTCAACAAATAACTAATGTGAGCCAACTAGGATTTGTCCCCAGGTTCATTGTAAACTCTGACTTATCCATGTGACTGTTAAGAAGCAGAAACATAACTTGTTTCTTCATGTGCAACATGTTAGTCTGGAGGTTTAAACTGGTGTCCTCTCACAGAGTTGGTGATTCAAACTAAACTTTCATCTCTGTCAGAGAAAACTGATCTGAGTTCGCTCAGCAAAGCTTTAACTCTTCCAGCCTCCATGACTCAGTTTACTTTCTGTCATCAGTTCATCAGAACAGATAAATGTTTGTTCTTCATGATTAAAATATCAACACATTAGAACAAAGATCAGCTTTGTTAGCTTTCAGCAGCTTCAGAGCGTCTGTGTCTGACAACTGATGAAATAAAGGTCTGCACTGGGTTAAAGTGAGGAGCTGATCCCATTCTGAGGCTGAACTGACTGATCACACAGCCACACAGAGACAAGCAGACACATGTTTTGACTGAATGTAAATGAGCTGCTGGCATGAAGTCACCTGTCTTTCCTACCTGTGTGTGAGTCAGGCTCAGTTCACGCCTACCACTAAATGCCTCACACTGATATCAGAACATTCAGTTGTTTTAGCGACTGATTAATGGTGTCAGAGATGATGATGATGATGATGATGATGATGAAGATGAATATCTTTAGGTTTCAGACTGTCAGTCGTCAGCGAGGCCTCGGAGGTTTCACTGCTATTTAACATCTTATAAACTAATCTGTTTATCTAAGAGGGAGAAGAAGAATAAAAATAATGGTTAGCTGCAGGTTGTAGTTCAACACCGCCTGATGAGACACTGCAGCCACTTCTGTCCTGACATCTATTCCACATATACCTGTCCATATACTGTATATACCGTATATACCTGTCCATATACTGTATATACTAGGGCTGTCATGATACTAAAATTTCAAACTCGATATCGATGCCCAGGAAAATATTCAATACTCGATACCATTTTCGATACAGCAGCAAAAAATTAAGAGGCATGTCATTTTTTAAATAAAGATCGGAACAGTAACATCAGTGATAACAACAAAAAATCCCCCCAAAATAAATAACAACCAGAAACAAGATCTGTCCATACAAATGTATTTATCTACAGCCCTGTTTATTTTCTGTGCTTCTGGTGAATTGGCACCATATTTTCGTTGCTGATCAAATAGAGTTGGTAGTTTAGGCTCAGGATGCTCCTGTTTCTACCTCACTGTGTGATCAGAGAACCAGGGGTTACGGGAGAAACCAAAAGTTTTTTCAGCTTCAGTCTGTGACTTTACAGTTAACATAACTTTTCAGACACACATAATTGTGTTGTCCTGTTAAACTAACATTGTCTATTAATGTTACAGACGGGCATGACTGATAAAGTTTTCTGCTTAGCTCCCACATTAACGTTAGAAGTTATATTTTAGTTTGATGCTGGCGACACCAGCTGCTCAGCTGCTAGTGAGGGGAGGGGCTGTACCTCACT